CGTTCCCTTGTTGAACTAGCAATGGCTATTTTCAAAGCAGGTAAAGAATCAGATCATGCTGATTTGGGGCTTCTTGCGGTCATCTCAGTTGCAAAAGAGTACCAGTTGTTCCAACTGGGGAGTCAGAAAGGCAGCTGCCTGCAGTAAAAAAACCTCTGTTTTCTTAAATGTGGCTTACCACAGAATTGGCATACATTGGCTATGGCAGTCTGATAGGGTGAACTGAATAGGCCATTTTCCTACCATGTGTTCTGTGTGTTTCAAGTGTAAACAAATTTGTCTTGGGTGCAGCAGAACTACTGAAGTCTGGTTCCGAACAGATTTGTGTTGTGTGCTTACATTGCTTTTTAGCTAAATAAGATATAATTGGTGTCAGGTAATCTATAAAGAGTTATCTAGAGAACACCCCAGTCTTGGAAAAATCTTCAAACAGGTTTTTGTGTCTTCTTAGGCACCAGGATCCACTCTGTAGAGAAGAATAGGCATTTTCTAGCTTCCTGACTTCATGAAAGTGACTGGAATGGAGCTATCTTGGTGGTCTCTGTCCTTTTGTCACATTCTGACACGGGCAAACCTAGTCAGAAGTTGGTGGGAAGAGGCTGCTTTGAATGGAGCTCCAAAATTCTCTGAAAGGGAAAATTCCAGAAATCCCATCACTTCATAGCAGGTTCTTGCTTTCGAATGTGTTGTCTGTAAAGATGTGCTGACGGCACATTCCCAGTGGGTGTGCCCTGAGTTCAGCAGCTCCAGTGACCAGGTATGAAGCTCTGCCACAGCCAGGCTGCAGCCTATAAGGTGCAGGGATGAATCCACCTCAGCAGACTCTACACTTTTAGTTTGGAGAAAGTCAGTGTGTCTCAGTGTGAAAAACTGATCAACATTGCTTTAACACTGGATCTGATTCTTCTCATATGCTTTATAATTCCCACACGACTCAGGTGCTTTGATTTGCTTTTGATTTCCCCAGCATGCAAGAGATTGATTTTTACCCTCAGTATGAAGTGATGTTGACTTCTTTAATGTCATGAAATCGTATCAATTGGAAGAGTCCAAAATGACTAAAAAACATAACTCCTTTTGACATTCTCCTTCAGAATGAAACAGAAGACATTCTCAGCAGGCAGGTCACCATCAGCTGCTGGTTAGATACTAGGATTTTTCTAGGGAAATAGTATCTTTGAGAACTGTTAGGGAAGTTAACTCCATTTATACTATGAAACTGTGCAGTGTAAAAGATTTGCAAACAAATACACAAATATTTCTCTCTCCGACAATTCTTACCCAAATCAGAGAAAGCATCCTATTCTCCTGAGTCCTTTAGCATGTGCTTAACTCATGGAAAAAGATATTTTAAGGAGAATTTCTGTAGAGCACTGTGCACCTCCTATCAGCTGCTTCCATGTGGGAATCAGGCCATTTATGTATACAGTTCCTGATTTTGGGGCAATTAAAATCTCAACCATAATGTTATATTAACACAGAATTTGGTGTGCCTAATGACATATTAAATCTTCCTAAATTATAGCTAAATTACAAAAAGGACTAATTTACCAAAACCAGTTAATAAATGTTTAGAAAAGGAAACTAATTGAATTATCCCTTGTTTGTCAGAGACAGATAATCTCCTTGTGAGAAATCTCATTTTTTCTGAAGCATGATTAATTGGCCTGACGAGTCAGAGATTATGACAAATTACGCAGGAGGAGATAATAAATAAGTCACTAGGAAAGCTTGGGAGCGGGGAACTAGCAGCTGTTATTTGGTCTGAGCCTGATTCTGATTCTGCTTCTGGATCCACCCTAAGCTGTGTATGGTTTTTTTGGTCCCTCTGAGGACAAGTCTCCCTTAACTCCTTCCCATTTCAGATCAATGGCATTCCCAAGAAGGTGCCTGAAAAGCCACATGCCACTAGGCCAATGTCTGGTTCTTAATTTATGAATAATCAAGGCCACAGGATGAGGTTTTTTATTTTTCTTTAGTCAGGGTGGGAAGATATCTATGGCTTACAACGATGGTGCAGTCATATATTCATTTTGCTCCCGCTAAACTCAACAGAATTAAAACCAGTTGAAGCCATGACAAGTTCTGAATGTGATACACATCTAAACCCTTCAGCAAAATGTGGCTGGTGGCTATACCACATGAATTTTCCTTGAAAAGAAGGCTTCAACATCTGCTTTGGGACTGCCCAGTTTTAGTGGATGTTGCTGGGATGCTGCTGTGCTTCAAGCTCCAGCACTGAGCAGAGATGAGCCAAAGTGGGACACTCACTGTGCAAGACGTTGCAGATTCTCAGCTTGGCGTGGGCTGGTCTGTCCGGGCACAGACATTTTGGACACTAAGTACAACAGAAGGTACAACAGAAACTTCTTGGGCTTCGTGTGTGTCACTGGGAAGTGACTGCCTCTCCAGTAGCAAGCTGATGTGAGCCTGCCATTTACTGAGCTTGTGTTTGCAACTCTGAAAATTCAAATGTCCGCAAGCAGGCACAAAATAGCCCTGACAATTTAGAAGTTTTGTGTTCATTTTTTTTGTTTGTTTGTTTGTTTTTTTTTTATTATTACTACTATTAATTACTAATATTACTATCGATTTCCTGGTTTCTGAGCCTTTATGTTATGGCAGAGATCAGGGCTTCCAGCTATTCTCTACAAGCCCAAGAGCACGATGTATTTTAACTCAGAGGGGGGGTTTGCCACAGCCATGCACTTTGAAGACCTGATGTCTCAAGTAAAATATCAGCTAGTATAAAACTTCAAATTAAATCATTTCTATTGGCAGCACCTATATAATGTCTTTTGGCACCCATTGATACCTGGAGGATGAGGATAGATTCATCAACTAACCTGCCCAGCACTGACAACTGCTTTGCTCATCCTGTGAATATGCAGCAGCCTTTTCTTCTGAGTAGCTGTTTTCTGCTTTATATTACTTTTAAAGTGGCACCTCTTTTGAAGGAGTCCCCACAGGTATCGATTCATTCCTTTGAGCCACTCTAATGGCTTTAAATATGAAACTGTTTAAGACGTACAGGGTTTTTTTCCCAGAGGGGGTGAATTGTCTGTATTTTATCGTCATTGGAACAACTCAGCTAGTTTTAATCACAGCAGAGTGTCTTTACATCTGGTCCCAGTCCTGCGAGTCTTCCCTTGGTGCTGTGGAATAATTGAAGAATATGATTAAAGGTAATTATTTTAATTGTTCATTGACTTAGAAAGATTTCTGATAGCAATAAGTGGAATTTGATCTGTAAAGTGAAAGGCTTTATGGATTTCCTGCATGAGGATAGAGTGCTGCCAGCAGCAGTGTAAGGAATGCAGATGAAACATCGCTGGCCTCCTGCAAGCACTGCATGACTTGTAGGAGGGAAGATATTTTTATAACTAAATGCAGAAGGCAAGACCTGCACACGGCGCCACAGTTTGCCTGTGAAGCATTTGGGTTTGTTTTTATTACACACAACATTCACCCCCAGAGCAATACCACTGACTTTGCTGTTAGTGCTTGATACAGCTGTGAATAAAGGCGTAGGGATATTCAACGGCTTAAAGCCTGAAATATGAGAATCAAGACCAATAATATTCAATAAGGTGAAATACTTAACACCTAACCATTCCAAAAGCAGTGTTTTTCTTGGAGGCAGCAGTAAAGAAGAATGATGGTCTCATAATAATAATTAGATCTCCCACGTTGGACTTGGAAAATGTCTGTTTTCTCTGCTCTGCTGAGGCTGCATTGGCCTTTGGCACAGCACTTTGGCATCTCCATGTCTCATTTCCCCTCTCTATAAATTGTGAACATGCCTTCTTTGGAGTACGGGAATTGCCTTCACACTGTGGGAGTAGGGACCGTGCAAATTCATGGATGTAGTAACAGTAAAGGCCTCTATTTTCTTAGTAGATATATTTTCTATGGAATCCACTACTTCTTACTATGGAAAGTAAGTACACCTGAAGATATCAAACTCAACAGCATCTCTTTTGGCTTAGTGATGCTAAGCAGAAGCATGCTGAGGCCAGTAGTATCTGCTAGGAAAGTAGAGGCATGTGTTTGCTGGGCTTAGACTTTGTGCAGGCATTTGTTACTAGCCACTGTGACAAAGAGGCTTCTGGAGAAGGTGAGCTTTTATTCTGACCTAGGAAATTTCTTCTCAGAAAGAGAGTGACGCATTGGCACAAGCTGCCCAGGGAGGCGGAGGAGTCACCCACCATCCCTGGAGGTGTTCAGGAAACATGGAGATGTGGCACTGAGGCACATGGTTAGTGGGCATGGTGTCAGTAGTTGGACTAGATGATCTTATAGGTCCTTTCCAATCTTAATGATTCTATGGTTCTATGATCCTGCATTAGCAGGCACTTGGTATTCCATACCTGGTCTATGTGATCATACAGTGCTACATTTCTTTGCCCTTTCTTTGATTCACCTTCCATTTATATTTCTATTTGTAGGTGAGTATAAACATCTTAGTAAGCAGATTTGGTGTCCTTTGTTTGTGTTTTCCCATTTGAGAATAGCTTGTGGAAGTATTTGTAATAATCTTATTTTGTATTTATTTAAGTGTGGTTGTAAGATACAAACAAAAAAAACTTGACTAAAATGTTCTGATTCTTCACTTATAGCCATGAGAATGAGAGACCAAAGAAGATTCAGATTTCAACTGTTTTGATAGAAAATTTGCTATCCTTTCTGTTTGGGAAGAGTTGAATCTGGCTCTTCTCTTACATCACACGGAGCAGATTTATGTATTTTTCAATCCAGTACCTTTGCCTGATCAAGATTATTAACTATAATTCTCAAGGCCTTTCTCCCCCACTGCTTGTAACTTATCCTCTTTTTTGTTTATTTTCATTGTTATTTCCTGTCAAGTAATGAAATGATGCAAAAGAAATGTTTTTTTACACAAGTAAGGGAAGGTAATACCTTCCCTCCCTGACCACATGCTCTCTTCTTTTCCAAGTCTTAATTAAAATGGTACTAAGGGAAGCAAATCAATTAACGGATATCTTACAAGATAGTTTATTCCCTTACACAAGTACATGCACACAATTACTAGCAAGTATCACATTTAGTTCATCCATTAGCAAATGCTACTAATGAACTACACTGGAACTGAAGTGGGTAACAGACACCTAGGCAGCTCAGGGAAATTATTCCAATATATCACTTTTCTCTGGAATACAACTTATATTTTCTTGTTCAAAACATGCAAAAAAATCATAATCCAAGCAATAGGATTTTTCCTTTGTACATTTGGAAACATTACCTGACTTACTATGGTCAGAACAAAAATACACCCAAATCATTTCAGTTTCTATTAGTATTTAGTACAGTATCTTCCTCATAGAAACATAATTTTGGTATTTCTGCTCTGACAGTTTTGATTCTAAGCCCCTGACTCAGGGGATATCAGCTCTGCCTATAATGCAGGGCTGACTGTGGCTGTTCACAGTCTGGAGGTTAATTACTGGGTTGGGAGGCACCTGGTATCCATGAGTTTTTCAAGTCGTGCTTTTTAATAAGATATGGATTTTCCAAGCTGGAGTTGAGTCTAACAGTTGTTCTTCTTTCTTCTTGTCATTTGTAAGAAGCCTGTACCTAGAATCAGGTAACGCAGAGCTGATGGAAACAAATTGAACAGAATATACAAGGCTAGAACAAGAATGAAGGGGGTGGGAGACTGAAACTATTCATGAATTCAGAGTGAATTTGGTGCATTGTTTTATACTGAAAAAAATGAAGATGAGTGGATTTTGGAAGTGGTAGATTTGCTTGTTTGTAGAAAGTTGAAATGGAACGTTTCATTTCAAATGCGTAGAAAGTTTTTGTTTAGGGTATACAACAATATCTTAATTTCAATTTTCTAAAATCAAAACATGAAAAACACTTGTTTGTAATTGACCACAATTCATTTAAAATAGCTGTAATTAACATTATAATCTAAAGTTAAACAAAAGATACTGATCCTAAAGTTAAAAAATATAACTTTAGTTGATGTGAATGAAATGTTTTCAAATTAACACAAATCATTTTTCCCATCTTCCTTCAACCTCAAATGAATGACTTTTAAGATAATTCAACCTCATTTGAAATATGAGCACAATTGTGAATTCTGCAGATGAAATGTATTGCTAGCTTTTCGTTTACCCTGAATTTAATTGATTTTAGAAATCAGTCATACACTTGTCACAGACTAAACAGGATCTGTTAATGAGCAGAGTTCATCTTGCTTATTTTCCTCCTACATTTCCTTCTTGTGCATGCTGTTGGGGATTATGGGCTTTGTGATGCAGGTGATGGGAGTTAGCATGCACTGTAAGCTCTTCCTGTAACCAATCAATCAATTGGTCTTTCAATTAAAGAACAAGGAAAGGAATTACTACTAGTGAGATTCCTGTTCATGGGCAAGAGATATCCATTGATTCTCAGACCGGGTAACTGTCAATAGGAAAAGGATTATTGCTTATTTGTACTTTGCTGTTCTGGTGTGTTGGTGTCATCTCTGAAAAAAAAAGAAAAGACAGCATTACAGGTTAATGCTAACTTTCTGGTGTTGGTTTATCTAAAAATGATCCATAGCATCATTATAAAAACTGAAGTGGGTGCTATACAGAGAAAAATTACAGGATTTCTACAGAATTATTATTATTGGGGTTGTAATTGCATTCATAAAGTCCTTCCCGCTTGTTCTTTTCTTTCCTAGATGTTTTTGTCTCTTTGGAGGTACCTGTTTTCCCTCAGTGAGCTAACAGAATGAATGAAGAATCCTGACTGTCATGTGACTTCTAGATGCCCCCTCTGTTGCTAGGTAGGGGATGCAATGCACTTTAAGGCAGCATCCTGATGAGAGAATTGCACTGTATCATTACCCTTAGGGCTGTTTCCACAGACCCCTTCTCATCATCATCAGTGGGGAACAGCTCATGTGTCCCACTGTTGCTGCATCACCAAGAGCTCACTGCTCCAGTGGCTGCTCATGTGGAGCAGCTGCACTGCAGCACAGTCGAGCCATCATGTAGGTAGCCTGCACTATGCCTTATGTTGGGGAATCCCAGTTGTGCAGCTGGGATGCAGGAGAATGAGGCAGCTGTATGGCTTGTGACAGCCCACACGGAGTAGACCTGAACTCTCTGGGTGTCAGTAGGAGCCAGGCAGATTGTTCCCAGCCCCATGTGCACACAGAAACACACCTGTTCTGGCTTGATCCCATGTTTGACCTGCAAAGAAAAGCAAGTGAAATATTAATAGCAGCTTTCAGTGCATTCTTCAAAACAAATATGGAAAATATCAACATGTCTGCAGCTAGTGAAATGCAGGAACTTTTCCTCCTTTCTCTTTCTTTCATTGCTCTTAATGTTTTATTCAGCTTTACTCCATCTAGTGTCAGTGCTTGGAAGTAAGATTTCATCGTGCCTTGCAGCTCTCAGCTGTTAAATGTTCTTAGATCTTGTGACTTGGTGGGAAATGGCATTTGGTCCCCCTCCTTCAATACTACATAAGTATTTTCTGATGATTTTGCTAAAGAAATACCTTGCAGGACATCAGGCAACCAGGGATGGATTTCTTGTAACTTGCCTCAAACTTTTTCCTCCTCTGAGAAAAGTTTTATCACATTGTTCTTTTTGAAAGTTGTGCTGAAATTATCTGTTAATGTGAAATTTGCTGTGCCAACCATTTGTGTCAGTAACAGCGAAGAGCTGATCTGCAATCTTTTAGCTTGAACTTGGCATAAAGTCCACAGGAGAGCATACAGAGCCCTCAGGTTCCTGGAGCTTGTCTCTTTTGCCTTCACCAGCCTACTCTGCAGACAAAGTAATTCCAAGTAGAGACACTGCTCTGCTGTGGTTTGGGGTACTACAATTAAATACCAGCTCTTTTCAAAGAGGAGAGAGACTCGAGAACACCATCGGGGACCAGATGTCTGCAGTGCTTATGAACTTGTCAAAATTTCTTCACGCACACATAAAAAGACACAGAATTAAGCATATAAATTAAGTCACACGAATTTCTGCCTGTCTGCAACTGTAGTCATTAAAATAATAGTAATAATTCCGCTTTTATTCTGGCCACGGCAGCTGATTAATGCAGAATGAGGCCAGTGCAAAGTGATCCGAGCAAACTGGAGTGAATCAGCAGTGGGTTAGGTTTAGGGATGCTCACCTGATCCCATTCCCTGCCTGTGTTTGGGGGGAGGTGGCAGGGAGCTGCTGGGACAGGCACTGTCTTCCAGCCCTGTTCTGAAGAGATTGGCAGCCCCGTCCTAAATAATTTGAATTCTCTGCATTTGGGAGGAGCAGAGAAGACTGCTGGGGAGGCTGATGCTCTTTGAGCTGCGCTGTGTACTTGGTAAGTTTCTTACAGAGAATGGCTTTCTTGCTGTTACTCTCAGGCTTCTTTCCCACAATTGGCAGTGCCAGCTGGCACACAAAAGGTGGTCCAGCCTTCCTAAGCACACTGGCTTTAGAATTCCATCACTTCCTTTGTGCTGGCCATCCTTGAGCAGCCTGTTCTCACTAAAAGTGGTTGTTGCTATGCCATGCAGATTTGCAGCAGGTCTGATTCCCTGGGCAGAGCACACAGATGTTTTGGGAGGGAGGGGGGAGCAGGACAGGATTTCTTTGAGATGGGACCATTCTTTGGGAACAGCTCACACTCGTACTGTGCTCTCCTCCAGAGAGCAGTGGAAGCTCACTCCCAGCCCACAAGGACTCAAAAGGCAGTACTGTTAACTAAAGGATAGTTGCTCCTGGCTCCACTACCTCTTCTGTACCAGTAAATAAAACAAGGGAGTGGGTCAGGTGTTGTGATTTAATGCACTGAAAATACCCTAGTTACTTTTCAGCTAGTGGTTTTCTGTCTTTTTCTATTTACAAGTCCATATTCGCTTTCTGTTGATGTGTAGGCATCGTGAATGGTATTTAAGCCAAATTTAAACACACATGAAAAATCTTAAGGCCCTTTAAACCCCTCAGAAATAGCCTACAGAACCCCCAGGCACTTGCAGCCTGCAAGGCAGAAGTCAGAGTTTCATTTTGTGACACTTGCTCTTTTTTTCAGCTCTCAGACACCAGGATGAAAAGCTGTGATACCCTGTGAGGCCCCGTACAAAATGTACATGAAGTATTGAGGTGAGTGCATGCAGTGATAGAAGACAGACTTGACATGGGTGCTGGGTAGGTGCTCTCTGGGAGCAGGAGCCCTCTGCCCTGCAGCAGCCAGGGCAGGAGTTAACGCACCCCAGATGGGTGTTGATAGGAGCACAGAGGGTGATCTTCCACCTGTGAACTTGTATCTAGTTTTGCATCAGCTCCAGGGAAAGGCAGGATTCTTTAGTGCTGGAATCAGGGCACCAGCGGGTTTGCCAGCAAAGACCACAATGGCTGTGGAAGGAATTGCCTCCGACAGGTGTCTAAATATTACCAGGAAAGCATTCTCCTGACTCAGCAGGTTTGGGACTAGCTCTTACAATCAAATGATTTAGAGCTATTCAGGACTAGCCTCAAACAGTTGTGCAGAGGAGGAGGAAGGAATAAGGATTCCTGTCTGTTTGGCAGCTGTAGAAAGGTCAACTGCAAATGCAGCCCCCAGATCTGATGAGAGCACAGGCATCTTGGGGCAGATGCTCTCCTAGAGAATGTGGAAAGTAGCCAGGAAGAGGAAAAAATAGCCAGAAGTGTGGCTCTGCCCATCAGGCTAATAGCTGGCATCAGTGAAGTATCCTGGAATGGGATTTAATGAACCCTAACAGTCTGGGCTGTGTGTATATAATACTGCTTTTGTGTGCATGCATCTGTATATTAAATATTCCCTGATTTCATGAATAGTGCTGAAGTCATTGAGGGCCCGAAACTGCCTACCAATTGCCTTAGGACTGCTTTTTACAGCCTGGTGTTCAGAGCACAGTACAAAGCTCAGTGTCCTTGGTTTTGACGTATGTAATTACAAAGATTAATTTCATTTTATTTAAAGGGTAGCCTGAGCAAAAGTAACTTGCCAAGGTTGTTCAGAAGAGCAACCTTCTGCTAGGCAAGATAGTTAGAGAACTAGGTAGAAAAGCCAGTTTATTGCTCCATTTGTTGAATTAACAGAGAATGGGTATTTAAAATTTGTTTCTGCAATTATGTATTTGCAAGAGGTTGAGACAGCCATTTTTACTAGGATTACTTGCCCTTCTTTTTTAATATACTTACACAAATACACAAGAATTTGTTTAGACCACCTTTGCCTGTTTCTATATGTGTTTACTGGCAATCGCGTGCATGACTACAGTTTTGGGTAGCTTTTAAACATTTTTCATTAACCTCAGTTCCCAGAGTTCATTCTGAGAATACCTGCTCGGGTTTTTTTTTTTTCCAAAGAATCGCTGGAATGAATGCGACCTTCAGTCTATCCTTAACACTGAGCAAAGAATCAGACCTGATCCAGTATATTTTGGCTGGGCTCATCTTGTGCAGGTTTGTACTGGTCCTTAGCAAAGTGTCAAAGCACTCCCACTGCCAGAGTGGACAGTAACTCTCCAAGTTGTCTTCCACTCACATTCCCGCAATAGTTGTTCACTGCTGATATTTTTTCATGGTGACAGTGCAAAGGGAAACTTTGCCATCTAAGCAGACCACAAAGGATCGTTTTTGATTGATTCGGTAAAGTAGATGCCTTCTTTGCAAATCTCATTTAGGTTATGGAGGCTATGTCTTTGTTTTTCCTTATTTGTAAACCTCTAATGATTGATGAAAACCCCGTTGGCATGATGACTGTGCTGTTTGGAGAATGCATTAGTTGGGAGAATTTGAGAAAGTCTTCTGGAGAAAGTATGAGTGCTGAAAGAATAGCTCAAAGTATATATAGCCGAGGAACGGTAAGAGAAAGCTTTCAGATCTTTGATCCTAAAGGTGTCAGAGATTCTATTGAATGACCCAGACCCAAGAAAAAATACTGACCATCATAGTTTAAAAAGAGAGTAAAAGAGGCTTGTTTTAGGAAAGCAAGCACAGATGCCGGTGCCTCAGTGATGCTAGGATGTTGGGTTTGCCTGGATGACTGGGAATTTAAAGAGAACAGACATGCAAGTTACAGCTAATTCTTTTCCCTTTGATGCCTCAATTCTCATACAAGATGCTCCATGAATGTGTATGAGAAAGCTTCTTTGAAGTGGTGATAACTTCTGTAGGAAGGAACAATAGCACTGAATGGCAGCATCCACACAGATGTCTGAACAAATCCTGAACGGGGTCATGGCTTGAATGAAACAGTGAAAATGGACAAGCCTTATACCAGATATCTCCAAGCTGAAAAGTGAAACACCTTACTTCTGGGAAGTATGTCCTCTTAACATCAGATTAGTTCAAAGAAAACATCCATCTCCAAGGCTGACGTATTTCCATACAAGGAAATTGCTGCACTGACAAGTAATTAAAATTCATAAAAATTGCTCTATTGTGGTTTAAAGCAACCAATAGCAGTCCCTGCTTCCTCCTGTCTTCATTTAAAAATTTGCTGTGGAGAAGACAGTTTAGTTACTCTGATTGGTAACTATAAAATAGAATTCCTTTGCAGATGTATTTTTGGCATCTTGCTATTTCAAGAACTTTTTCCTGTGAACTCGCCTATAGTACAGCAGCAGTATGTGTTTGCATCTTAAGCAGATATGATTTCAATGGATAGTAGAGTGGCTGAGAGGCTGGACATATAGTGTTACGTGTGGATAACTGATCCAGGGGTTGAGCCATTGCAAAGCATTTCAGAGCGCAGAGTCCTGAACAGCCCACATTCTGGATCTTAATTCTTTTTCCCTATGCACCACCATTCCCCATGACACGTTTAAATAACGGCAAGACCTCTTCTTTTTAAATGCATTTTTACTTAAAGATTTTGATTTGTGAATTTTCTGAAGGATTCCTCCTTGAGACTTTCTCAAGTACCCTAGCATTAAAGTAAGGTGACCAGTTAAGTTTTTGAGCTCAGACTTCAGCTAATAGTATCAGTGGTGTGACTTATGTGTACTTGATTGCTTCCTGCAGTTCACGGTATTATAGACCAGTCTGGACTACTTAGATCAAAAGCAAACTTAAGAACTGTTCTCCACTTGAAAATATGATGTTTTTCTTTCTTTGTGGCTCTAAACCCGATGGAAGCACTGAAACTTAGATCAGCTATTGTTAATGTTCCTTATTTCTGCCTGTCTGTGCAGCTGAATACAAGCCCAAATGTAATAAAACAG